GCTGCCCTGACTTTTGGCTGTTGATTTTGATCCCTTGACTGGTGTAAGCATAGGATTGGGGAGGGCAAAGGTGGCATCACAGGTGGGCACCACTATGGCAAGGACTCTAGAATGCCTTGGCCTTCAGCTTGGCTGAAGCTCAGGGCCCTGGCAGTAAAAACCAGAGCCTCTAACCAACCCGTTTTCTTCCAGTTCCAGGGTCTCCCTTAACTGCTGTAGTAACCTGGGTCCAGGGCCTCAGTGGTGCTCCTGATGTCCCTCACCCACCCCTGAAGATCCCAGGTGGGCGAGGGAATAGTCAGAGGGATCACAATCTTTCAGCTAATTTATTTTACTCTGTAAGTATCTGGATCTTTGGGCTCCCTGGACCTTGGGGGGGGTGGGCTGGGCTGGGCTGGCCAAACCTGCAGCCTCTGATGCTGAGCAGTAGAGATTTTTTTTTGGTACGTGCCCCTAGCGGTAACCGAACCCGGGACTCTGGTCCACAGGCCAATGCTCAACCGCTGAGCCAAACTGGCCAGGGCTCTATCTACATAATTTTACTGAATCCTCATAACCCTACAGTCAGGGGACACACATAGGTGCAAGCTGCAGCCCAGGCCCTTACCAAACCACAAGTAGCCCTTGGCGAACACTTTTTTTCGCTCCAGCCTGGCTCTCACCCTGACTGACCCTGAGCCACCTCCCCTCAGAGGTCCTAGAGGCCCTGCTTTCAGAAGACATTGCAGCTAGCTGGGTGACTGGCTGATTTGGTGCTTTTCTGAGTTTTCCAAATTGTGGCATCAAGGAGGAGAAGATCTAAGGTGCGAACTTGACGCTTTCCTTGTACAGGATAATAGGCTGAATGTAACAGAGGAACTAACGTCTAATAACAAGACGAGAATTCTCAACGTCCAGACCAGGCTCACAGATGCCAAACACGTTAACTGGAGAGCTGTGCTGAGCAGCAGCTGCCTCTACATCGAGATACCAGGCGGTGCTCTGCCTGAGGGGAGCAAAGACAGGTGAGGGTCAATCGGTCATGTCCTCACTCCCAGGGGAGGAGGGAAGCCAGAGTCTAGAGGCTGGCCATTGTCATTCTGGGGGTAAAGGTTCCTTTTTTTGTTGTTAATTCTCACCTGAGGATATTTTTTTCCATTGATTCTTAGAGTGGAAGGGAAGAGAGAAAATATCAATGTAAGAGAAACACATTGATTGGTTGCCTCCTGCACGCACCCCGACCTGGGCCAGGGATCAGATGTGCAACCCAGGTACATGCCCTTGACCGGGAATCAAACCAAGACCCTTCAGTCTTTGGGCCAGCACTCCAACCACTGAGTCAGACTGGCCAGGGCAGAAGGTCCCTTTCTGAGTAGTGGATTAGCCATTCTCTGGAGATTTCCTTCCCAGGGGCACTCTAGACCGTATTTGAGGACATCTGTGATTGTCACAAGTGGGGGTGCTCCTGGCATTGAGGGAATGGGGTCAAGGATGCTGCTCAACCTTCCTTAATGCCCAGGACTACTCCCCAACAGAGAATGACCCAGCCCCAGTGCCTCTAGGTCTAAATCTGGAGGAGTGGCGCTCTTCATAAATCTGGCCCCTTTGAGAGAAGTGGAAGGTAAAGGCTGGGCCCTCATGAGGGGCACATGAGGGTGGGTAGATCCTGATGGTTGGCACTTCAGCTTCGCAGTTCTTCTGGAGTTTGCGGAGGAGCAGCTGCATGTTGACCACGTCTTCATTTGCTTCCACAAGAACCGTGATGACAGAGGTAGGTGACCACCCATTGCCTGCTGCTCCTACAGGGATGAAAGGAGAAGGCACCCACTCCCCTTGCCCCGAGGTGGAGCTCTGTGGCCCAAGGTCCTGTTGTCAAATCTTGGTGCTCAGTCATGCTGGTTACAGAACTTTGTCACACCCTACTGAGCATCGTTAGTCTGTTCTGCCCCCTCCCCATTATTGTTGCAGCCCCTTGGAGGCTTCTGTTAGAGGCCATCTTGTGAAGGTGGGTGGACACAGAGCCCAGGGTGCTGAAGGGCAGCCTGCTCAGTTGCAATTTTCCCCGCAGCCGCTCTGCTCCGTACCTTCAGCTTTATGGGCTTTGAGATTGTGAGACCGGGGCATCCCCTTGTCCCCAAGAGACCTGACGCTTGCTTCATGGCCTACACGTTTGAGAGAGAGTCTTCTGATGAGGACGAGTAGCAGCTGCACCGCCTGCACCCCTCACCTTTGCCACCACTGACAGATCATCACAGATCTTAGCCCCTTTGTGTGTTTCGCTTTGTGAAGGTGGTATGACCAACTGCTGCACTAGGGTGCAAATGCCAGGCCTGCTCCCCTCTTCTGGGTTTGTCCGCATGTTGTAATTGTGCAAATAAATGCTCACTCCAAATTAGCGGTATATTTCTTGAAGTTTAATATTGTGTTTGTGATACTGAGGTATTTGCTTTAATTCTAAATAAAAATTTATATTTTACTTTTTTATTGCTGGTTTAAGGTGATACAGATTATCCTTGTACTTTGAGCAGGAGTTTCTTATTTGAAGTTTTGGAAACAGTTTAGATCTTAACTTGGAAAGATAGGTATTAATCTACCCTTCTATTGCTTTAAAAATCTGAATAAAAATGATTACATCTAAGATCTGTCTGGGCTCAGTGTTGTTAACTTGGCCTGGAGGGGCCTCAGGTTCCTGGGGTGGAAAGCCAAGGGTTTACTCGTCTCCCCTCCGGCTGCAACCAGGTTCTGTGGGATGTGCTGGGTGATTCAGCCCCATGACAGGTTTCAGGACCCTGGAGCCAAGCAGCTCTGGTTAGCAGCCTGCCCTGCCCCACCCTACCCACACCTTGGATCTTCGGGACACATGCCCTGTGCCCTTCCCTGGGTGGCCCGGTTTGTGGGCTGGCTGGCTGGCTTCCTGCTCACCCTGAATGGCCTCACCTCTGCCTGAAGCTGTTGGGGGCCTGCTGGGACTTAACCCAGGGCGGTATGGGTATGTGGATCTGGCCTTCCCACTTAGCAACTGCAGACCTGTGCACCCCAGTTGCTCCTGGGAAGGGCCTTGCAGTGTCATGCTGGAATAGGAGCACACCTGGGGAGACTGGTCCCACACTGGGGTGCTACTGAAGTTGCAATGTGGGCAGGATTGCAGCGCCACCTACTGGCTGCATCTGGTGGCATTACCCAGAGATTCATATCCAGGCCTTGGCTAGGAAATGGGGGGGGGGGGGCATCTTTGACAGGAGGAAAGGTACTGGGGGGATTGAGTATATTTGGGGGTGGGATGGGATATTCAGCTACCTGAGTGATGATGGAGCCAGTTTTCAAAGGTGTGGGGGTACAGAGCTGGACTCCCAGTCAATGTGGATGGTAAAGGCAGGGAAAGGGCCTTGAGTTGGGGTATTGAAGGATGAATAGGAGTCTGAAGCATAGGTGTAGAAAGGAGGGTGTTTCCAGTGGAAGAAATAATTTATACACGGCTTGGAGGCTAGACAGTACCTTGAAGGATGGGTAACGTGGCAGGGGGAGTTGACCAGAGAGCTTGCAGAAACTTTGTAGGATCCCTACTGTATTCTGAGGGTATTAGGGAGTCATGGGGAGAATTTGAGCAGGAGAAGGGCCTGATCAAATCTGGGGGTTCTTTGCAGGATCACCATGGTAGGGGAGTAGGAGGGAGGCCCCAGGCAAGAGCAGTGGGACCCCTTAGGGCTCCTTTGTCCATTTTCAGAGGCATAAACTGAGTCCCCTTCAGGTACCCTGATGAGTCTTGCAGGCCAGTTTGTTTATCATCCTGTGTTACTTTTTTTTTTTATCCTCACCCGAGGACATTTTTTCAGATAGAGTGGGAGAGAGAGAGAGAAACATCGACGTGAAAGGGACACATCGAGTGGCTGCCACCTGCACGAGCCAACCGGGGCCGGGGACAAACTGCAACCGAGGTACGCGTCCTTAGCGGGAACAGAACCTGGGTCTTTCTGGACCGCAGGCCGATGCCCCAACCGCTGAGCCAAATGCCAGGGCTGTCACCCTGTGTTATTAATTAAGCACCTACTATGTGTTAAGCCTGGCCCCTTTCCCCAGGGAACTCATAGCCTTGTGGGCAATAGGTAAGATATGCATAAATACTTCCAGGTGGTTTTAAGTGCTTTGGGGATAGAGCTAGAGAGGGCCCAGGAGGGGCAACTTGATTTACTTAGGAGGTGAGACTGGCAGAGGGAACAGTCCATGCAAAGGCTGGGTGACAACAGAATTTAATGTCACATGAATAGCAAGGAGGTCACAGTAGGTGGAAAGAGCTTGAGCAAAGTGGCAGGGCATGTGAAGGTGAATTCAGACTCCCTGGAGTGGGTTGTGCTGGGTGGGCCTCCCCTTCCCCTGGAGATCCCAAACAGCCCTTGACAAGGACATACATGCTGGAGGAATCACTGGCCATGATGCTCGGCATCAGGAGTTACTTTAATGCGTTCCATGCTGGCATTGGAAGGATTGTCCACACTCCGCTCTTGTGAAGACAGTGACCATCAGACCCCAGCATTAGAAGGGCAGCCTAGCTTCTGCTGGAAGGTGAGGGGGAAGAGTTCCATACACTTAATGTTGATTGGCAGGGGGTGTCTGGAAGGAGGTGTAGGTGGCCCTGGCATCAGAAAGCCTCAGCTGGCCCTGGCCATTACCCCCAGCCCTGGAAGGGAGGCACCTGCCTTCTTGGGGTGGACTTGGGCCTAAGTCCAAAGGAAGCGGTTAGGCATTGGAGGAGGAGTGTCCACAGCCCTGCATTCTCCACTAGGCTTCTAAGCCCCTTCTGGAATGGAGTGGCCATCCTATTGTGGAAACACTGCCCCCAGCCCCAGCCCTAGAAGGAGTGCCTGCCTATTCCCAAGGCCCTGGAAAAGGCACCTTGCTCTAGGAGGGTCACAGAAGCACCAGGGCGTGGCCCACGAGGTCTTGGCCTCTCAGGTATTCACAGCTCAGCTGGCCTTCCTGGCCAGGTTCCTCCAGGTTCAGGACCAGCAGCACGCGGGGCATCTTCAGCCAGGACCCAGCGGTGCTCTGCGGCTATGCAGCTCTGGCTCGGGTCCCCAGAGCAGCACCTGCAGTGCGCAGCAAATCAGGGTGGCAGAGGGTCACACATGGGCCAGCTGTGCTGCCCGCGGCTCCAGGTCCTTGGCCAAGGCACAAGGCTGAGCAGCACGAAGAACAGGCCACCCAGCTGTGGTGCATGGGCTCCCAGGGGACCAGGGGGGCCAAAGTTCCAGATCAGCAGGTGCAGGGCCCTGGAGTCCTAGCAGTCCTACGGACAGGTTTTCCGGCCACAACTTCACTAGGGATGCGCCCAGGCCTCCAGGTGCTCCAGGGCTGTGCTCAGCTGCAGCAGGGCCAATGCTCAAGTGAAGTCCGTGGGCCTCTGTGCGCCCACCTCTACCTGCCAGTGCACCCAAGTATGTCTGCTGCCAGTGCTATAGGTCACAATAGGGCACCTCTCAGGCAGTGCACCATTGGGGCACCAGACCACACAGCCCCTGGAGGTTGAAATGCAGAGGCAGTGAGCGAGGCCTACAGCTCCAGGGCCCACAGGTGGGGCCTCTTGGTTCTGGGCTTGGGCATCTGCAGAGCAGAAGGAACTGTCAGGGCCTGACTGGGAGCCCCCCAAACCAGCACAGCCTGCCCTGAAGCCTTCCTGCCCATCCCAACCTGCTTCCATCCTGGCTTTGGGTGGTTGGGGGTGCAGCCTGAATGCCTCCAGAAACGGGTTAAATGTTAATTTGGATGTTAGTCACCAAAATGATTTTAAGGAAAACACCAGAGAGGATGGCCTGTAGGACCAAAGACACAGGTCCTTACCTTAGCTGTGAAGTGACAGCTAAGGTGTCAGAGCTAGGCTGTCCAATTGAAATAGAACACAGGCTTTCGTGTCATTTAAACATTTCCAGCAGCCACATTTAAAAAAAAAGTGGAAAGAAACAGGTGAAAGTAATTTTCATAATATATTTTATTTAACCTAATATATCCAAAATGCTATCTATCATTCAAGAAGTCATCAATAAAAAATAATGAGATGTTTTACATTATTATCACTTTTTGATACTAAGTCTTCAAGATTAGGTGTATATTTGACACAGCATATCTCAGCTGGGACCAACCCCATTTGACATGCACGGAAGTTATGCATGGCCAGTGGCTGTAGTACTGGATAGCAAAATTCTTTATAGAAGGTCAAGAGAGCATTACGTCTGGCGATTACATTAGAATCACCTGTGGAGGGGGGGGGGCGGGTTATTTAAAAATTACAGGTGTGAGAGACTCTAGGGGTCTATATTTTTTATTATTTTTTTGCATTTGTCTTGAGATAAAGTGGGAGGAAGAGAGAGAGAGAGAGAGAGAGAGAGAGAGAGACATCCACATGAGAGAGACACATTGAGTGGCTGCTGCCCACATGACCCCAACCAGGGCCGGGGACAAACTGCAACCGAGGTATGTGCCCTTAGCAGGAACTGAACCCAGACCTCTGTGGTCCACGGGCCAAGGCTCTAACTGCTGAGCCAAACTGGCCAGGGCTCTAGTGTGTGTGTGTGTGTGGGGTCTATATTTTAAAAATAAAGTCTCCAGGGGCCTCTCAGTTTGAGCTAGGATTGAGCTATTCGCTGAAGAACTCAAGAGTACAAGACAAGTTACTCTCCAATTTACTCTAGTTTGCAAAATGGACCCATAATAACACATTCTGCCAAATTGATTAGGTTCTCCCAACATGGTGATGCTCCTGATGCTTGGTGGTATGGCTTATTTAACAGGATTTTTTTCTTAGTGATACATAAAATAAGCATCTTCTGATGAAAAGTAGTGACACTCTCACCTTTAAAGTCAGAGTGAGGATTAGATGAGTAAATGAATCTAAAATTTCTCAAAATAGCCCTGACCAGTGTGGCTCAGTTCGTTAAGTGTCATCCTTGCCTGCAAGGACACTGGTTTAATTCCCAGTCGGGGCACATACCCAGGTTGTGGGTTTGATCCCTGTGTTTCTCTCTCTCTCCCTGTCCCTTCCTCTCTCTGTTAAATCAATAAAAGCATTTAAAAAAAATTTAAAAGTTCTTAGAACAGCCCTGGATGGTTTGGATCAATGATTAGAGCATTGGTTGGCCCATGGACCAAAGGGTCATGGGTTTGATTTCAGTCAAGGGCAAGTACCTGGGTTGCAGGTTCGATCCCAGGTCCTGGTTGGGGTTGTGCAGGAAATCAATTGATGTGTCCCTCTCACATTAATGTTTCTATCTCTCTCTCCTTCCCTCCTTCCCTTCCACTCTCTCTAAAAAAAATCAATGGAAAAATATCCTCGGGTGAGGATTAACAAAAAAGTTTTTTTTTTAAAGTTCTTAGGCCCAGCCGGTGTGGCTCAGTGGATTGAGCATTGTCCCATGCACTGAGAGGTCACCTGTTTGATTCCCAGTCAGGGCACATGCCCAGGTTGCAGGTATGAGCCCCAGTATGGGGCGTGCAGGAGGCAGCCAACTGATGTTTCTCTGTCATCGATGTTTCTTTTTTTTTTTTTTTAATCCTCACCCCAGGATATTTTTCCATTTTTTGTTCAGATAGAGTGGGAGGGAGAGAGAGGAAGGGAGAGAGAGAGAAACATCGATGTGAAGGGACACATCGAGTGGCTGCCACCTGCACGACCAACCAGGGCCGGGGACAAACTGCAACCGAAGTACGTGCCCTTAGCGGGAACCGAACCTGGGTCTCTCCGGACCGCAGGCCGACGCTCTAACCGCTGAGCCAAACCGGCCAGGGCTTAAATTTTTTTTTTTTATCCTCACCCGAGGATATTTTCCAATTTTTTGTACAGATAGAGTGGGAGGGAGAGAGAGGAAGGGAGAGAGAGAGAGAGAAACATCGACGTGAAGGGACACATAGAGTGGCTGCCACCCGCACGACCAACCAGGGCCGGGGACAAACTGCAACCGAAGTACGTGCCCTTAGCTGGAACCGAACCCGGGTCTCTCCGGACCGCAGGCCGACACTCTAACCGCTGAGCCAAACCGGCCAGGGCTGTCATCGATGTTTCTATCTCTCTCCCCTCTCCCTTCCTCTCTCTAAAAAAAAAAAAAATACATTATATATATGTGTGTGTGTGTGTGTGTGTGTGTGTGTGTGTGTGTGTGTGTATTTTTATCCTCTCGATATTTTTCCACTTTTTGTTCAGGTAGAGTGGGAGGGAGAGAGAGGAAGAGAGAGAGAAACATCGACGTGAAAGGGACACATTGAGTGGCTGCCACCCGCAGGACCAACCAGGGCCGGGGACAAACTGCAACTGAGGCACGCGCCCCTAGCGGGAACCAAATCCGGGTCTCTCTGGACCGCAGGCTGATGCTCTAACTGCGGAGCCAAACCGGCCAGGGCTAAACTATAAATTTTTTTAAAGTTTTTTTTTTTCTCCCTTTATTGATTTTAGAGAGAAAAGAAGGGAGAGGGAGAGAGAGATAGAAACACTGATGAGAGAGAGAACATTGATTGGCCACCTCCTGCCTGCCTCCACTAGGGATCTGGCCCACAACCTGGACATATGCCCTGACCAGGAATTGAACTGACGACCTCTTGGTGCATGGGTTGGCGCTTAACCACTGAGCCACACCAGCCAGGCAGGAGAAAACAAATTTTTGAATCATCTGACCTCTGGCAGTAGTGGGTGCACCGCTGGGTTGGGTGCCGATTTGATAAGATCAAAGCTTTAGGGGAGTAGACAGTGAGATACAGAGAGATGGAAGGATCTTGGATTTGATTGCTGATGCTTGTCAAGAAGATAAGCTGCCTTAAGAGGATGCTGCAGTACTACTGAATAAGCTTCCTGAACCCGAATGGGACAATGGTGGGATCACAGAATCTGTTAAAGAATAAGAAATAGCCCTGGCCAGTTTGGCTCAGTGGTTGAGCGTCGGCATGTGGACCAGAGAGTCCCGGGTTCGGTTCCCGCTAGGGGCATGTACCACCAAAAAAAAAAAAAAAAGAGTAATAAATAAAGCGGACTAACTTGGCCTTACAATACCTTCATGAGAATGCTTTCCCCATAGGAAACTGCCACCTGGCTCCTTCTTTGTGGATAGATTTTTAAAAATATACATAGATGGCCTGACCAGTGTGTCTCAGTGGATTGAGTGTCATCCCATAGACTGAGAGTCCCTGGTTTAATTCCATGTCAAGGCACATGCCCAGCTTTTGGGCTTGATCCCCAGTAGGGGGCATGCAGGAGGCAGCCGATAGATGTTTGTATCTCTCTAAAAAATCAATTAAAAAAAATTTTAAAAGCCCTGGCCGATTTGGTTCAGCAGTTGGAGCATCGGCTTGCGGACCAGAGAGTCCCGGGTTTGGTTCCTGCTAGGGGCACGTACCCCCAAAAAATTTTTTTAAAATATATACATACATATATACATATTATTTTCTTTCAGTCTCCTAATTCAAATCTTTTAGTGATAGATCAACACTCAGAAATGTACACCCACTGTCCGTCCGGCGTGGCTCAGTGGTTGAGCGTCGATCCATGCACCAAGAGGTCTCTGGTTCAATTCCAGGTCAGGACACATGCCCAGGTTGTGAGTCTAATCCCCAGTGGAGGGCATGCAGGAGATGGACAATCAATGTTCTGTCTCATCAATGTTTCTGTCACTCTCTCCCTCTCACTTCCTCTCTCTAAAATTAATAAAGGGGGGAAAATGTATCCAAAGTTTGAAAACACCGTCAGGAATCTTAGGAATCCCAGTAGTCAGTGAGTGGGCTTCTAAATATCCATTACGTCTACAGGTTTCATACGTCAGACTGCTTCTCTGAGTGGGGCTGTACAAGAAGTTAATGTCTCCTTATGTCAGCTTCCTCTTTCTTTGTCTTTTCCTTTAATATCTTCAATCACCTCTGTCAAGGATAAATATAAGTAGTTGTGAAGTGTTAAGATCTGACAGCAAGCCCTGGCCGGTTTGGCTCAGCGGTTAGAGCGCCGGCCTGCGATCCTGAGAGACCCGGGTTCGGTTCCCGCTAAGGGCGCGTACCTTGGTTGCGGTTTGTCCCCGGCCCTGGTTGGTTGTGCGGGTGGCAGCCACTCGATGTGTTCCTTTCACATCGATGTTTCTCTCTCTCTCTCTGTTCCTCTCTCTCCCTCCCACTCTCCCTGAACAAAAAATGGAAAAATGTTCTCGGGTGAGGATAAAAAAAAAAAAAAGATCTGACAGCAAAGCAAAATTAGAGCTAAAGGCAAAGGTTTAACCAAACATGTTTAAACACAAACTAGTGAATGAAGAACTTGAAGTTCAAAGAGTCAAATATTCTGCATTTCTGAGAAATCTCTATCAGTTTCTCATTCTGGTGAGTATTTCCACATTGCACTTGGCTGCCAATGAAAGGAAAAGGCAAAGAAGGAGGAAGCCGACATAAGGAGACATTAACTTCTTGCACAGCCCCACTCAGAGAAGCAGTCTGAGTGGATGGGTATGAAACCTGTAGACGTAATGGATATTTAGAAGCCCACTCACTGACTACTGGGATTCCTAAGATTCCCGACGGCGTTTTCAAACTTTGGATATATTTTTAAGGTGGTTGTTTTTTAATTTTAAAAAATATGTTTTTATTGATTTTAGCGAGGAAGGGAGAGGGGGAGAGAGACAGAAAGATTGATGGGCTGCCTCTTGCATGACCCCCACTGAGGATTGAGCCCACAACCTGGGCATGTGCCCTGACGGGGAATCAAACCAGTGACCTCTGGGTCACAACTGAGCTACACGGCCAGGCAGGCTTTTTTTTCTTTTTTAATTCTTAATGGAGGACATGCTTAGAGAGAGGAAGGGGGAGAGAGAGAGAGAGAGAGAGAGAGAGAGAGAGAGCGAGCCATGAGAAACATTGATGTGAGAAACATCGATTGGTTGCCTTTCATACATACCCCAACCAGGGACAGAACCTGCAGCCCAGGCATGTGCCCTGACCAGGAATCAAACTGGAACCTTTCAGTGTACAGGATGAGGCTCAACCAACTGAGCCACTAGGGCTGAGCTAGATAAATGGATACATGGATACATTTATAAATTAAAGAGTATCTGACATGTTCCCCTGCCCTCCCTACTATTTCTTTTGATGCCTCTGGAAATGCTGTTTAGCTAGATGGACCACTAGTTTTTATTCAGTAATGGGAATTATTTACACCTGCACGCTCCACAGCCCTTTGAGATATAACTGAAACACCATGGAGTCAGTATTTATTTATGCATTTGTATGAGAACTTGTATTTTGCAAAACATATATTTATCTTCCAGAATGATTTGCCTTTGTTAAGTCTTGTTCTCCATTTACATTGTAAACTCTGTGGGAAGAAGCCCTGGCTTATACTTTTGTATTCATCATTGAAAAACTGAAAACACGAAATAATTGAAATCTCTCTTCTCAAAAAAAAATTTTTTTTTAATCTTCTGACTTCCCTTCTCCCCAGCCCCCACCCAAGAAAAAGATAGGATACAGAAAATCCTGAATCTTGTACCTTGTTTGAACCAGGTACTCAGTAGACCCCGTCGATAGGGAAACTGAGGCACATGAGGCGATTATTTTACCTGCCTTTACTACTGGAGGAATAGGGAAAATGAGGCCCACATCACCCATTTCTGGCTTCTTTGAAGTCAGGAATGGAGGGATCACCCCACAGTCCCTCACATCTCCCTATTCTGCTTCTGTCTTCTGCAGGGCAGAAAAAAAACAAACTTGTTTCCATGCTCAAATGGGGAAACTGAGGCCCATAGAGTGACACTGGGGCGGGGGGACAAGTGACAGGCTGCTCTTGGCCATGGCTTCTGCTGACTGCAGAAGAGCACAGGCTTTTAGAAGCCAGTGGGGTTTGAGCCCTAACACTGGACTCTGTGCCTCAGTTTCCACATCTATCAGGTGGAGGTCAGAGTGAGAATGAAGTGTTTTTTAGTACTACATCCAGCACTCAGGTCTACCTCCATTTTTCCAGAGCCCCCAAAGTCAGGAAAGTTGATGGGCCCCTGTCAGAAGAGGAGACTGCCCCCCCCCACAAGCCCCAGGGGAAGAAGCTACCAGCTCCAGAGGTACAGTGGGGAGAAGGTGGGCTGCACTTCACTTCTTTCTTCCCCACTGCTGGCTCTGCCTCCAGACAGAGCTTGGGGCAGGGGGTTCCTCAACAGCCAGGTTCCACCTGACTCTCTCAGTACATGTCTCTTCCTAGCTGGAGACTCTGGGCAAATGCCCTCATGCCTCTTAATCTCTGCCAATCTGTAAAATGGGATCATAGCAGGATCCAGCTCACAGGGTTGTCATCAGCGTGAAAAGAGTTAATACAGGGGAACAGCATTGGAAACAGCAAGCGTGAAGTGTGACCTCTAACTTTTCACCATTTATTCTTTCTCCATAAACATCCTATGAGTCACCTTGGGGTTGGAGCTAGGCAGCTCCCCCTGGGCCTTCAGTATCCTTATTCCTCATCCATACTTCTTTCCTCCCTTCTCATAAAAACAAATAAACAAAAAACCCTGAGCTTTGTTATTAAATTGGTTTCATTTTTATTGGATTCCAACCAAGTACAGCAGGGTGGGGTGGGAGGCTGGGGAGTCTTGATTCATGTTGGGATGGGGGCCTGGCAGAGGGTGCTGGGAAGTCCCATTATGTGTGATGTTCTGTACATCCTAACACTGCCGAGAACGTACCCCTCCCCTTCTTGATGATGCTAAAGGCACTTGGATGTCTTTTGAAAGGCTCTCAGGGTTGTCATGGCAACCAAGGTCAGGAGAGTACTAAGGGAAAAAAACTAGTTGGTTCTGCCCAACTCGGGTGGGATATGAAGCTGCTGGACACTCCCTTTGGCCCTCACTCACAAGTGGGGTTGGGATGGAATTCCCACCCTGGCTGGCCATGGTCAGCGACCTACAACCCAACATGCTGGCCTGTGTGCACATCATGGGGACAGGACTGGGGCCTCTGACATTCCTAGCCACAACCCAGAGAGAACAGCCAATACCCCCTTCTGAGTTCTGTCTGAATCCTTTGCTCAAAACCTCCAGGGTTGACCTGGCTTTCTTTCTTGCTCATCTCAGAAGATCTTGAGGGATCTAGGATTCAAATCCACTGCCAAGCCCATCCATGGACCTGGCCTCTATATGTAGCAATGGGTTTTACAGATCCATTTTTATAGACGAAGACATAGATGGTCCAGGTGGTCCTCAGTCACTGACCACGATTACATAGCAGGTGGTTACAGAGCTGGCTTTCAGCCTTCCCAAAAGGTCCTTGAGAACACTTTCTAACCTTCTGGTTGGAGGCCAAGCTCCTTTCTGGCTGAGGTCAGGCCCCACAATGTTTCCTGTGCCCCTTCCCCTCAACGATGCCCTGTTGTCTGGCCGAGGTAGAGAGTGGGGGCAAGAACCAGGCTGGAGAGGCAGGATCACAGAAAGTCCCTGTTTGGTGTCTGAATACTTCTGCAGTACCTCAGCTACTGTTTGGTTACCCTCAGTGATGGGGAACTCACTTTGTGAAGAGCAATGAGGCAATGACCTTGGGAAAACTCTTTCTTAACCTGAGCTGCAGTCTGCCTATGACTCTCTACTCTTTGGACCTAGAGTTGCGGAGACCAAGGTGCCTCTGTCACCTTCTCTCAACAAACCAGGTTCAGGCCTCTCTGTAGCCTGAACCCTTGTCCAGGCCTGCTACCCATTGCTGCCTGCAGCGCACATAACAGGGATCCTAGGAGCTGCTCACACTCTCTGGTCTCATTCCCCAGGTGAGCAATGGGACACAGGACTGGCTCAGGGGCAGTGTAGACTCAAGATTGAAGGTCACTACAGCTGGTTTTCTGAAGATGCCCCAGAAGCCATGCTCCTGGGCCAGGGCCAGGGAAGCTGCCCTTCCAGCATGGTGTGGGCTCGATAACCAAGTGGCAGCTCTGAGGGTGGTGGAGGAACCTGGGGAAATGGCTTCTCCTAGTGGCAGCATGCCCTGCTGGGCCAGTGGGTCCAGGTGGAGGGAGTCTGGGGGCGAGGATGGGGCCAGCATGTTGGGGATCACCTAGCATGCTGGGCTCCTTCAGGGTGAGCTTGACCAGCTTAACAAGACCTTAGCCCAGCCCCCAAGATATCCCCAGAGTTGGCCAGCTGAGCAGGAGCTGGATGTGTCCTAGGTGTGAGCTATGTGTGACTCAGGTATGAGCTGGATGTGTTCCAAATATGGGCTGCTTGTCCCAGGTGTGAGTTGTGCTCACAAGAGCTCTGTGTGCCCGTGGTTAGCTCTGGAACCTGAGGCACCTGTTTAGTATCAGCTGGGTGCCAGGTGTGTGTGTGTGTTCCATTTTAGAACTGTGTGTCTGATTGTGTCCTGGGTGTGAATATGTGTGTGCTGGGTGTGAGGTGTGGGGTGTCCAGGTGTAAATAGTACAGGCTTTCATGTGCCCTCCAAGCATCCTGAGTGTAGACCATCTCCCCCCCCAATATGAGCTGTCAGGGGGTTCTGGGGGCAGCAGCTGTGTGCCTCTGGGTGTGAACTGTTAGAGGTGAGAACCCTAGGTCTCTGAGCTCCCCACCCCCACACAGCTCAGTGACCACTCAGGGCCAGGAAGACAGAGGGAAACCTTTAGAAAACGCTTGAGAAACTGCAAAAGACATATCCTGATGAAAAAAGTCCTGTGGTTGGGTCTCTACAAAAAAAGGGAAGTTCTGCCAGGAGTCAGCTTGCAGCCACTCCTCTGGAAAATGCATAGGTGTCATTGGATAGGCCAGCGAGGGGCTGTGGGGGACAGAGACTGAATCTCTTGGCTCAGCCTAGAGCCTGCAGCTCCAGGCAGGGCAGTTGGAGGTCTCTCCCAAGACCCTCAAATCATCTTCATGTTGAACTTGCGGCCGCTTCCCTGGCCAGCACCCGCGGCCGGACCGTCCACCTTGCGGAAGGAATATTCTACAGAGAAGTTGTTCTTGTGCTGCCCACGGCCCCGGCTCCACACGAAGAGCAGCAAGAAGCAGAAGAGGACGACGCCCAGGAAGGTGATGCAGCCCATGGCTGTGGACACCAGGATGGTGGTGAGGTCCAGTGGGAAGCGCGCGGCCGCCAGTGTTTCGTTGCGGCCCTCACCCAGGGTCCGGTTGGTGGCCGGCTCGGGCTGCACTGTCAGTGTGGCGAAGTAGGTATCATTGCCGCCGGCATTGCTGGCCACGCACGTGTAGGTGCCGCTGTCTTGCGGCCTAGAATCCCGGATCTCCAGCGTCCCCCCCGAAAGTACGCGCGCCCGGCCAGTGCTGGTGATGGTAACCGCACGGTGCTGGGGTGTCACCCAAGCCACGGTGGGAGCCGGCTCGCCCTCTGCACGGCACTGGAAACGCACGTCCTCACCCGCGATGGCTGTGATCTGCTGCAACCTCCGCTCTCGAATCTTGGGCTTGCGGCACACGAAGTACTCGAAGAGCGCCGAGTCCGGCAGGTTGCGCAGCGCGTCCCCGCGAACCTCGGCGGGAGTGGCACAGACCGGCAGCCGCCCGTCGAAGTTGAGGGTCTTGCGGCGCTGCACGATCCACAGCAGGCGACAGTCGCAGGCCAGTGGGTTCCCGTCCACACGTAGGGTCTCCAGCGTGTTTACTGAGTGGAAGGTGCTCTCCTCCAACGTGGACAGCAGGTTGTTGGAGAGGTTGAGCAGACGGATCTGACGTAGCCCCAGGAAAGCCTGTGGCTCGACCACAGCCAACAGGGCCCCGGCTAGGTGCAGCTCACGCAGGCGGATCAGGTCTCGGAAGGAGCCGCGTGGCACTGTGCTGATGGGGTTGTGCGACAGGTTGAGGCAGGTGAGGTGGGCCTGGTGGCGCAGCGCGGCGGCTGGCACTGCGGTGATATTGGTGTGGGTGACCGACAGCGAGGTCAGGTTGAGGCCCTGCAGACTGCCCGGGGCCACCTCCTCCAGCAGCGGCCAGTTGTCAATCTCCAGGTGCAACAGGCCCGGCAGCCTACGGAAGTTCTGGTCCTCCAGAGCAGCGATGGCCAGGTGGCGCAGCCGCAGGGCGCCCAGGCCCGGTAGGTGGCCCAGCGACTCGCCCGACAGTGCTGTGAGGTTGCAACGCTCCAAGGTCAGCTCCTCCAGCGCCAGGAGCCCGGCGAAGGCCCGGCGCGAGATGAACACCAGGTCATTGTCGCCTACCTCCAGCCAGCGGAGGCTGCGCAGGTCCTGAAATGTGTAGTCCAGGAGGATGACCAGCTTGTTCTCGCTCAGGTCCAGCAGCGTGAGGTTGTCCAGGCGCGTGAAGACCCCGGGCGGGATGAGCTTGAGCAGGTTGCCGCGCAGGCGCAGGACGCGCAGGCGCGGCAGGTTGGCGAAGGCCCCGGGCTCAACGTGAGTGATCACGTTTTCACTCAGGTCCAGCTCCTCCAGTAGTGGCAGGGCGGCCAGGTCGCCTGGGTTCAGGCAGCGGATGCGGTTGCGGCTGAGTTCCAGTAGACGCGTCTCGGCCGGTATGCCGTCAGGTACAGCGGTCAGCCGGCGCCTGGGACAGGCCACCGTGCGCGTCTGCGCTGTGCACTCGCAGCGAGCTGGGCAGCCCCCCGCCGGGGGCGGGGCTGCAGGCAGGAGCAGGAGCTGCAGGCTCAGGACGCACAGCCAGCAGGTCATGGTTCGGAGCCTAGGGAGCCTCGGCTTAGGGCCCCGCCACCATCCTCTTGGGCACCTGGAGGCGGGGGCAGCATTAGCACTGGAATCCTGCCTCCCAGCCCTGCCCCAGTAGGGGTTCACCAGTAGTGTTTATGCACGGTGGGACCTGCAATCCCACTGCTGGGTGTCTACCCACGAGGACTGAGCACACGACCTCACAAAAACCTATACATCCATGTTTACAGCTGTAGCATGCTATTAGCCACAACCCAGTATCCGTGTATGGATGAATGGATAAACATAATGTGGTCCATCCACACATTAGAATATCATTCAGCCACAGGAAGGCTGAAGCACTGACATTCACTAGAACGTGGATGGACCTTGAACACATGATGCTCAGTGAGAGAAGTCAGACACAAAAGGCCACACAGTGGGTGATTCCGTTTATGTGAAATGTCCAGAACAAGCAAATCCAGAGACAGAAAGTGGGTTGGTGGTTGTCAGGGGCTGGAAAGGGGGATCGGGAGTTTCTTTCGGGGTGATGAAATGTTCTGGAATTTGATAATGGTGATGGTTGCACAATCTTGTAAATATACTAAAACCACTGAATTGTGCACCTCAAATGGGTGAATTTTGTTTTGTGAATTTTTCTCAATTAAAAAATTTGCAAAAGAAAGCATTTATTGAACTGGAGAATCATGGAAATATAATACAAAAATATTTGTTACCAACCCCCCCCCCCCCCCCCCCCCATTTATTGAGTGCCTGGTGTATAGCAGGCTCTAAATACAATGCAGAACAGAGCAAATGTAGATCCTGCCATCTGGGGACTCACATTGGCTGGGTGGGGATATAGGTGGTCTACATGTCTCCACCTCCCCCAGAGTTTTTATCAGGTCCCCTACCTATCTTGTCCTCCTTCTGTCTGCATGAGTCTAACCATTACATGAAATTAGAGCGTATCTTAAAACTCTTTTGTTTCTCCTCCAACTGGGTTGTAAACTCTCTAGGGCAGTGGTTCTCAACCTTCCTAATGCCCTGACCCTTTAATACAGTTCTTCATGTATGTGGGCGTATCAGCATGTGGGCGGACCGCCTGGAGACGATAGAGGAGAGGTGTCTCGGTTCCTAAGACCATCGGAAATATGTGTTTTCTGATGGTCTTAGGCGACCTGTGTGAAAGGGTCGTTCGACCCCCAAGGGGTCGCGATCCACAGGTTAACCACTGCTCTAGGGTGTCATTTTTTTTAGATAGAGTGGGAGGGAGAGAGAGGAAGAGAAAGAGAAACATCAACATGAAAGGGACACATTGAGTGGCTGCCTCCCGCACGACCCAACCAGGGCCGGGGACAAACCACAACCGAGGTACATGCCCTTAGCGGGAACCGAGCCTGGGTCTCTCTGGACTGCAGGCTGACGCTCTAACCACTGAGCAAAACTGGCCAGGGCATCTTTTTTTTTTCTTTTTTAATCCTCACCCGAGGACATTTTTGCATTTATCTTCAGATAGAGTGGGAGGGAGAGAGGAAGAGAAAGAGAAATATCAACGTGAGAGAGACACATCAACTGTTTGCCCCCACACAGCCCCGAATGGGGCTGAGGACAAACCGCAACCGAGGTTCGTGCCCATAGCGGGAATCAAATCTGGGACTCTCTGGTCTACGGGCCAATGCTCTAACTGCTGAGCCAAACCAGCCAGGGTTCTCTAGGGTGTCTTAATCAGAGGCTAAACTGCCTGAGATAAGGAGTCTGCTTGATGAACATCAACATCAATACACTCAGTAATGGCAACAACTTGACCAAAAATCTGTCACAGAATTTTGAGACTCATACAGGGGTGGGAAACCTTTTTTTCTGCCAAGAGCCATCTGTTTATTTATTTATTTATTTATTTATCCTCACCTGAGGACATTTTGCATTTATCTTTGGATAGAGCGGGAGAGAAACATCGATGTGAGAGAGACACATCAAGTGGTTGCCACCTACACGACCCCAACTGGGGCCAGGGACAAACTGCAACATGCCCTTAGCAGGAACCGAACCTGGGACTCTCTGGACTGCAGACCGACGCTCTAACCGCTGAGCCAAAATGGCCAGGACCATCTGGACATTTATAACATCACTCATGAGGCAATACAAAATTATCAACTTAAAAATTAGTCTGCTATATTTGGTTAGACCAATTTGGTGAGGTGTGTGATGTTAGCTGGTATTGATTTTGAGGGCCTTATATGGCCCGCAGTCCAGACGTTCCCCACCCCTGCGATAAAACAAAGTTTCAGCCCAGCCAGTGTGGTTCAAGGGATTGAGTGTGCACCCATGGACTGAGAGTTCCCAGTTCAATTCCTGGTCAGGGCACATGCCGGGGCTGGGGCTTGATCCCCAGTAGGGGGTGTGCAGGAGGCAGCTGATCCATGTTTCTCTCTCACATGGATGTTTCTATCTCTCCCTTCTTCTCTCTCTTTAAAAAAAAGCATTGAAAAAACAAAGTTTAATGAGAGAAGAAAAAAAACAAAAGACAAAAAAAAAAAACAGGTAACAAGACCAGAGGATTCACTGATAGAAGCTGTGAGGAGAAGCAGCATGGATGGATGATCATGGTGACCAGGGTTGAGGAAGGGCTGACTTCAGACCCAGAAAGGTAACATATGAGCTGAAACTCTAGTGGGAAGAATTGGGTTCCCCCCCTCTTCAAAAAGATATGTTCAAGTCCTGACCCTGGTACCTATGAATATGGCCCCATTTGGAAGTAGGGTCTTGCAGATGTGATTAGTTGAGACGTGGTTATACTGGAGTAGGGTGGCCCTAATGGAATGACTGTTGTTCTCATAACAAGAGGGGAATTTGGACACATGTACAGATACACACAGAGGAAATAAAGCCATGTAAAGATGGAGGCAGAAATTGGGGTGAGGGAGTGGGGTGAGGGAGCTTCTGTACCTGAGAATGTGGTCACACCACGAGGAAACCGAGGGGCCTCTGGTCTACAGGAGGCCACAGGTCTTAGGTCCCTGTCCTAAGCTGGGGAACGCTGTAGGGAGGCTGAGGGAAAGGAGCAAGAGCTGGTTGGTTGTGCTCTATCACTGCAAATGTCCTAATCCCAACCTGGGCATTGCAAGGAACATAACCCTTCCCCAAAGCAAGCCTCCCTTCCGAGGCTGTTTTTCTAGGTCATTCTCTGCCATGTTGTTGCCCTGGACAGCACGTGGCGAGGCTGTGTCCCAGGTGGGGACAAGAGCCAAACAGATGGTTCCCTGTTCAGTCACCCATCTCATGCCTCTGGCAAGTTCCTACCTTAAACTTGTCCCTGGCTCTGAGGTCACTCCCAGTTCCCTGTTGTGCTGCTCCCTATGGTCAAGGGGAAATACCCCTTTGCCCAGGAATTGGGAACAGGACCTCAGCAGCCTGCTCTGGAGGAGTCAACACCTCCCTTGCTCTGTCTCAAGGAATAAATGACTGATATTTTCTTCCCTCCAAATATAGACTCCTTGTGGGGCAGAGCTACCTGGTTTGTTCTTTCTGCAGGAGAGAATTTCATATCCCTAGAATAAAATTCGAAGTCCTCCTCAGGGCCCACAGGTCCCGTACAACCTGCCTCCCATCTCCTTGCTGCCCTCACCTCCTCCCTTTCTCCCCTCACTTATTCTGCTCCAGCCACCTGGGCCTTCTCACTGTTCCTCCAACATGCCAGGCACCATCCTGCCTCAGGACCTTTGCACATGCTGTGCCAAATACCTGGAATACTTCCCTGCATGGTTCTCTCCCTGACTTTATTTGGGGCTCACCCTCAATGTCACTGGTTACTCTCTACTAATGTTCCCACCTTAGTCTTCCTGAATGCCATTTAAACCCTTGTTTAATGTATCATCATCACCATATGGCGAACACTTCTGCAGTTCCTACTCTGTGCCAGCCTGGGACTAAGGGCTCCACCTGTACTGTACCCTTTAATTCCCACAACCTCATGGGTGGCTGCTGTCACCCCCACTTTACAGATGGGAACACTGAAGCTCAGAGCAACTTAAGTCACTAGCTCAGGTTCACACAGCCCATCAGAGGTGGCAGGGGGAAGTCTCAGGGCTAACTGGGTGGTAAAACTCACTGCTGTTGCTTTTTTTTTTTTTTTTTTATCCTCACCCGAGGACATTTTTCATTTTTTGTTCAGATAGAGTGGGAGGGAGAGAGAGGGAGAGAGAGAGAGAGAGAGAGAAACATCGATGTGAAAGGGACACATCGAGTGGTTGCCACCCGCACGACCAACCAGGGCCGGGGACAAACTGCAACCGAGGTACACGCCCTTAGCAGGAACCAAACCCGGGTCTCTCTGGACTGCAGGCAGACGCTCTAACCGCTGAGCCAAACCGGCCAGGGCTGTTGCTTTTTTTTTGTAACAGAGCCAGGACAGGGTCCTGGCAGCTCATCCAGCTAGACTTTAAAACACAGTTCTGGCCCTGGCCAGTTTAGCTCAGCGGTGAGAGCGTCGGCCTGTGGTCTGGTTCCCGCTAAGGGCACGTACCTCGGTTGCAGTTTGTCCCCGGCCCTGGTTGGGTTGTGCGGGAGGCAGCCACTCGATATGTCCCTTTCATGTCGATGTTTCTCTCTCTCTTTCTCTTCCTCTCTCTCCCTCCCACTCTATCTGAACAAAAAATGGAAAAATGTCCTCAGGTGAGGATAAAAAAATAAAAACACAGTTCTGTCTTTGCTGGACCAATTTTTATCATCACCTCCAGAGATACCGTAACACTGGTGCCCCTTATATGTTGATTCAGTCTGTCAGTCAGTCCACAAACAGGTACCAAGTGCCAAGCATTTTCCAAGTGCTGGAGACAGAGTGCAGGAGACAAAGAGGTCAGCTTCCTGGGAGCTGATGGATACGAACAGCCTCTCCTGCCTTGAGTGCATGAGTGGAGAAAAATAAATCCAGGAAAAGGGTGATGGTTGGTGTCGAGGGATTGCAATGATCTAATTTACTGAGAAAGGGATGTTCATGCAAAGACTTAGAGGAGGCAGGGAGCCAAGCAGATGGCAGTGGGAAGGGCAGCCATGGAGGGCACAGCAGAGGACACCCTGTGA